CAGAGATACGATGCCATGAAATAATTATCAGATGTCAAGCTGTTCTGATGCTCAGATCCATTTGTGCGGTTGTTATGATGATGCCATCCTGCCTTACAACTCACTCTCTCTCTCTGTGTGCATCCTGTCTGCAAATATATCTGCAAATCTCAGGATTCACTTGGAAAGATGCCAGCCGAGTGTCTTGTGAGCTGAGCTGGCAAAACGTCCAACCGTATGTAAAATACTGCCCCTCTGGTGATATCAGTCTTTAAAAGAGAGCTAATTTCATTTTTTCAAAAGCAGCCGCTTGATAGCTGCACAATTATTCTGCGGTGCCCCGTCCCCTGTTAAAAGCCGCACAGACTTTTATATCAGGCGAGAGATTTGTGGATATCTAAATTGGAAGGTAAACCTGTATAAACAGTAGTAATTACCGTGCCATTCACAGGGCCTGTTGTGCTCGTTCGGCAACAGCCACAGTGATTAAAATGAATCTCCATCGACTTCCCCATTAAATTGCTGGCAGTGGCGATCCTTTGACCTTTCCCATTGATTGAACATAACAATCACAATTCAATTGTAATGCAAAGAGAACATTTGTTATAATGTACATGAGATGCAGAAGCCATTTCCTAGAGGGTTGAGGTAATCAATGAAGTGACTTCAAAAGGAACCTGCACAAAGACTCATTCTAGTCAGAATCTGCGCTACATATCGAACCCAACGTTCAGCCGTCTGTTGCATCACTCAATACATTTGCATCCTATAAAAGAAACATATTGTGCATCCAAAACCCTCGGTGTCATTTCATGCTAGCTACAATAGCCCAAATACTGACGGGTACGATCCGGTGTTCATTTGTTTTGATTTTTAGAATGCTAAGCCTTCCCAGAAATCACTGCATGTGGCACAGAGGTCTAAGACAATGATTACAGCTGACATTTTCCTGAATTATTTTCCTCTTTTTTTGCATTGTTCTCTGTGCATCCACTGATTAGTAACATCTGTATGTGACACTGGTGCGGTTCCAGCAACACGTCTGGTTGTAAAACGCCATTAAACTTGCGGGTGAAACTAGTCTGCGGCTGATTACTTGCATGTAACTCTGCTCCCTCCCTCTGACCAGGAAGGAAAAACTCTGTGAAATACCCGACTTCTAATCAGCATGCAATTCTGATTTTAAGAGCGGTGCTAGATCATGCATTTCAAAAACGAAGAGTATGTGAAATGTCCTTAAGGGAATCTGCAGAATTGAGAGATTATAGTTTACACGCACATTAAACAGATTAAACCAGTCAGATCTCAAAAGGCAGTTTATCTAATGGAGAAAATGTAGTATGCTAATTGGGTAAAGTCTGGTGCTGAAATTACACATGAGTTCTTCACACTGTGTGTAGATTTAAGGGTAAAGTTTGATTAAAATCACAAGGCTAATCAGGGATATAAGCTCAAAACAGTCCCTGAACGAAAGCGTGCTCGCCACACAAAAAAGTAATTGTCTCCAAAAACTTCTGCGATGACAGATTCAATTCCATTTAGTAAATGTTTAATAAATGTTATACAAACACGGCCGCCTATCTCACTGTATTCAGAAAACAAAGGGAAACTTTAATTGCTTTAATCATCCCGAGCTTTGACGTTGTTATTGGCTTTAAAAATAGCAGTTAACAGTAACTGTCTTGTAAAGGAAATTGAACCACATTTGCGAAATGATCCCCAATTAAGATATGGCTGTCCAGACCAGCAAAGTTGAACTGGGGTGTTGTGTCTAAGAAAAGCAGTCGATGCCACACAAAGCTATTTAATTAGCTGAAAGGCCCAAAGAAAACAGGCAGCCTAATATGTATCACTTTAATCAAATTTAAAGTGATTGCATCCCTTTTGAAGATTCCAGAGCACGGATATGTTCATTAACAGATATGTGGACAGAATGAGGTAGTTGTTTCTCACAGAAACAACTCTTTAACGTCAGGAAGCTCACCACGCAGCTGAGCAAGACAGAAGTGTGCGTTTCTGTTTGCTGTCTTTAGTGTTCACTAATGTGTTTCAACATTGCGCAGTGCTACCTTTAATCTGCACTAAAGGGAAATAATGCGTTTCCTGGCTTATTTACCATGCTTACTTAACAAGTGCTGTACAATTAGAATTGTTAATAGATTGAGAAAAACAAAAGGACTTTGAAGGTGGGAAAGTGCTGACATTATTTCACAGGGGAAAAGCACCCCTGAGAAAGAAAAGGTCTGCAGTAAATGTAGTTTCCTGCGCTGTTCTTCAATGAAACGCCGCTCCCTCTCATTAGAAATGCCATAGAAGACATAAATCAAGGACAGTAAAAATTTCATCGCCTCCGTGTTAAATCACACACTTTGCATCGAACAGCAACTGTGTAAACATTGTAATTTCACCTGATTCTTGTTAAATGTATGCACACTTTTTACAATCCATAAACAGATCTGGAATAAAAGTTAATAAATGTCAAAATTTGCATTTGGGGAAAAAAAGCATCTTGCTGCATTTTTGCAAATATCAATCTATGAACCTTTCAACATTTTGTCAGGCAAAATGCTAATTGTACCTTTAGGAATTTGAGACACAGTGACAAGAAATGAGATGCCCTGTCCTTTTAGGTGTGGAAATCAACTGGGGTAGCATACAGAATCCCTCGCAAAGGCAAAGCAAACACAGCCAGCCACGTTTTCTAGGAGGAATTATCGGTGCATAATGATACATCTATCTTAGATAAAAAACGCTTCTCCCAGTTGGAGAACCCAATAAATTATTGCACTGGTAACCATGAATTTACAATGATTTATCATCTGTCATATATTATTGTGAAAGCTAAACTGTGACATTCATGACTACAAAGTACTGTAAATAAATCAGTATATATAAAAATATATTGCTCATATGTATTCAGTTGTTCTATTCATTATATATATTGTTAGTTCATTTGTATTTCATATTATTTAAAGAGACTATGGTAAATTTTCAACTACCGAAGTTGCAAACCTTTAGATACTTTAGTATTAGCATTCTTAAGTCTCTTCTTCATCTGCTGTCCCATCATTCCAACACCGAGGCTAATTTAACAAGGGAGAATTAAGAGTGTAAAAAGTGCTTACACAAAGGTTTCCACGTTATTTGCTTGGAATTGATTTTAACACTTAAACAGAATCCTAACTAAGGGCTTATGTGTGCCAGGCCATCTGCATTTCACCGTAGACACACATACATACATATTAGTCTATGGATATCTATCAGAAATGCCAGCTGAAGCTGGCAATGTGTTACCAAACAAAGCATAATTTGTTTATTTTTACCCAACAAACATGTTCTACAGCGTCCTTATGAGCGATTAGCAATGTTGTTCTTCAAAGGTCCTTAAGAGGAGTTTGATGCAGTTCTTGCCCGTCCTCCCATTAATCCAAGCTCAGTTAAGAGTCTGCCATCCAGGCAGCCTAATATGTATCACTTTAATCAAATTTAAAGTGATTGCATCCCTTTTGAAGATTCCAGAGCACGGATATGTTCATTAACAGATATGTGGACAGAATGAGGTAGTTGTTTCTCACAGAAACAACTCTTTAACGTCAGGAAGCTCACCACGCAGCTGAGCAAGACAGAAGTGTGCGTTTCTGTTTGCTGTCTTTAGTGTTCACTAATGTGTTTCAACATTGCGCAGTGCTACCTTTAATCTGCACTAAAGGGAAATAATGCGTTTCCTGGCTTATTTACCATGCTTACTTAACAAGTGCTGTACAATTAGAATTGTTAATAGATTGAGAAAAACAAAAGGACTTTGAAGGTGGGAAAGTGCTGACATTATTTCACAGGGGAAAAGCACCCCTGAGAAAGAAAAGGTCTGCAGTAAATGTAGTTTCCTGCGCTGTTCTTCAATGAAACGCCGCTCCCTCTCATTAGAAATGCCATAGAAGACATAAATCAAGGACAGTAAAAATTTCATCGCCTCCGTGTTAAATCACACACTTTGCATCGAACAGCAACTGTGTAAACATTGTAATTTCACCTGATTCTTGTTAAATGTATGCACACTTTTTACAATCCATAAACAGATCTGGAATAAAAGTTAATAAATGTCAAAATTTGCATTTGGGGAAAAAAAGCATCTTGCTGCATTTTTGCAAATATCAATCTATGAACCTTTCAACATTTTGTCAGGCAAAATGCTAATTGTACCTTTAGGAATTTGAGACACAGTGACAAGAAATGAGATGCCCTGTCCTTTTAGGTGTGGAAATCAACTGGGGTAGCATACAGAATCCCTCGCAAAGGCAAAGCAAACACAGCCAGCCACGTTTTCTAGGAGGAATTATCGGTGCATAATGATACATCTATCTTAGATAAAAAACGCTTCTCCCAGTTGGAGAACCCAATAAATTATTGCACTGGTAACCATGAATTTACAATGATTTATCATCTGTCATATATTATTGTGAAAGCTAAACTGTGACATTCATGACTACAAAGTACTGTAAATAAATCAGTATATATAAAAATATATTGCTCATATGTATTCAGTTGTTCTATTCATTATATATATTGTTAGTTCATTTGTATTTCATATTATTTAAAGAGACTATGGTAAATTTTCAACTACCGAAGTTGCAAACCTTTAGATACTTTAGTATTAGCATTCTTAAGTCTCTTCTTCATCTGCTGTCCCATCATTCCAACACCGAGGCTAATTTAACAAGGGAGAATTAAGAGTGTAAAAAGTGCTTACCCAAAGGTTTCCACGTTATTTGCTTGGAATTGATTTTAACACTTAAACAGAATCCTAACTAAGGGCTTATGTGTGCCAGGCCATCTGCATTTCACCGTAGACACACACACATACATATTAGTCTATGGATATCTATCAGAAATGCCAGCTGAAGCTGGCAATGTGTTTCCAAACAAAGCATAATTTGTTTATTTTTACCCAACAAACATGTTCTACAGCGTCCCTATGAGCGATTAGCAATGTTGTTCTTCAAAGGTCCTTAAGAGGAGTTTGATGCAGTTCTTGCCCGTCCTCCCATTAATCCAAGCTCAGTTAAGAGTCTGCCATCTGGACGTGTGCTCCTAGCGATAAATATGATTTAGAGTTGATTCAGACATGTTTTCCGCACCGAGTGTGTGTGGATTTCAGAATTAAATGGCACAAACAAATGTGGAATAGAGAGCAAATTAATATCTCTCGTTTTAGAGCTCCATAACAAAGCTGCACCCTTAATTACAGCCTGTAATCATTTCCTGAAACACAAATATCAAGGAATTAAATTACCATCATAGAGCTCTTGCACAAATAAACTGATCTTATAAACATAAAATATCTCCTGACGCATGTTCAGATGATTCAGAATGTCCTGCAGGTAATTCTGACGCAACACTATTCTTAGCTGTCTCTCGACTGACGCTGGGATCAAGTTATTTGAGCAACCAACATAATTTTGCGAAATATTAAGTGTGTGTGAATATCAGATAATGTTGGATCTAATTACCTTCCTTTTGAGCTTCAGTTGTTTTTCAGCTGTGCCAAGCAACAGTGACCTCTACAGGGATTGAAGATGGAAAACCCAGATACACTTTTGACTTCCTGCAGTAACCTCCTTAAAGAGAGAAAAAACTGAGAATAGTATCATTTTAAAAAGTATATTAAAAAGCTATAAGTCATAGTAAATTAAATTACAAATCAAACAAAGATTACTAAATGTTTTAGAAGTATTTTTCAGGGATAGTTTATGTTAAGTAATGGAACCTTATTGTGTAAGCGTTACCATCAAAACATAATTTACACAGACAGTATACTGGGTAAAAAAAAAAATGGTTTAGAAACAATTTTCACAAGTTTCAAAGAATCAGCAAGCAATTAAACATGACATTTTTAAGTAGAAAGACTACTTGGTTATTTCTTGTAAAACATACTTTAGTAATCTTACAAACTCAAAAAATATTTTACAGTTTAATAGACACAGTGTAGAGTTAAAACCAATAAAAATACTAATTAGAAGCCTCCTTTGCACATTTATTTGGCATACTTCCAGCATCTTAATACTTAAATGTAGTTTTATAATTAAATAAAACACTAATAATTTATTCTGTAATATGTTAAGATACTTATAAATAAATATTAAGATTTGTTTACAATATTTGGACAAAATAATGAATGAACTTTTATTCTGTCATGTATCATCTAGTAAGCAATCCCACATTATAAATAAACAATATTTAGAAATACAGTAAATAGTAAGACTGTTTTCACAATATTTTAAATCAAAATTATATTGAAATCTGTCATTGTCAATTCTTCTGTTGTTTGGTGCAAAATAAACAAAGACGACTTCATTTGTCCAGCACTGCAGGAGAAGGTCTCGCTGAAGACGGAGTCTTGGCCACATCCAGGTGTAATGGCAGCAAACCCAGAAAGTGTTGCCAAGACGTTTCTCCCTCGCTTCTAAACTTTAGCACAGGAGGACAAAGTGTCTTTCACAGAGAGAGGGGGTAGAAAAGAAAGGGTGCCAAACACCACAAAGCAGAGCCAAGCTCTGTATCAAGCAGGAGGAATGACTGATGGAAAGATAAGGGACAAACCAAAGAGAGCAGACCAAACAGGAAAAGCAGGCAAGCAGCAAATGGAGGGGTGTAGCCTGCGCCGACAAAGAGCGCATGGTGGACGCTCACGTTGCATGTATCTGCTTTTGTTTAGAGCTGACAAGAAAGCAAATCTCATAAAAACATTCTGCTAACTTTTCTCTTTCCTGTGCAACCTGAATAACAGTTAACCAGCATAACAAGTAACCTATTTAAGATTAAACTGAGAATGCGGACATATTCTGTGCTGTTTTTTTACAAAAAGACACACAAGCCATGTTGTGCCCTATCCCCCACTGCTGCCGAGTTTTCTTTTATGCATTCACATTCAGTTCGGGAGCGTCAAATCCTCCAGAGAGCCAGCATTGTCCTCCTGCGAGTCCCCTGGGTTTCCCATCACATAGCTGCATCTCTCATGCACACAATATAACACCCAGAAGATCCAGCGGCGAACGGGCTCCTTTTAAACGCTCGCACGCAATTTGAGGAAGATTAATTAAAATGCTATTAAAGCCACTGCTGATTGTGTTGATTCTCAAAGACTTTGCAAATTATTCCACTTTTACTGCGGCCTTAAACAAACAGATTCAATAGCCTTTCACTGATTTCACCCTCTGAATAATAAACATCTGTTATGTCATTGTGCGCAGAAATAAAAGGGACACATACTTTCCTTGGTGATGTGGAAAGAACATTTTGCACCAACAGAAGATCTGCGACTGTAGTGTTACAAATATATGAGCAGTGGGGTTTCATATCGATGTGGTTCAAGCGCTTTCAAAGGCCGAGGTCTGCTCTAGCGGACTTGAATGTGTAGTCTGTGGTGCATAAAGTGAAACATCAGGCCTAGCAATGACGCTTTTTCTAATAGGATACCGAGCTCGGGGCATTAAGCAAAAGGTGTGCACCATGGATATGAAAAAAGTACATAAATGGCTGATTTAAAGAGATTGAATTAGCCTCCGTTTTAGTGCATCTGCTATATTTGTCTCTGACAGTGTTGGGGAAGATGCAGTACTTTGAAACTGTCACTACAGTCTAGTGACACTTTTTCTTATAAATACTAATAAACCGTAAAAAAAAGGGGGGCACTACATGTTTCCTTCTAAGTCATAAATACTAAGGAATGTGAATTACTTGAAAAAACGTTAGACCATTCCCCAAAATGTTGTACCAACTAGTCAAACACAATTTGTAGTTGCTGTTATAGGTTTATTGTTTCACTCTTTGCGAACTTTTGTTGTTTTGCCATTTTTGTTGGGTTTTTTGTTGTGTTTTGTTGTGTTAAGAGCTCATTCAGTAGTTGGCTGCGAACATAAATGTGTTGAGGTCTATGTAACCATTTAAAACTAAATCTTAGATAGCTTTGCTTTCTAATGTAATTATGCCTTCTGGATAACAAGGATAACATTATTCACTTCACATATTAAGTGCCCTGTATGTATATTGCTACCAAAATGATACATTTACTGGTTTACTAATTGAAAGTGTTGTATAAAAAATCTGTAGTTGCCAAATGGACCATTTTGATCAAACAATTTCAAATTGCCAAAAAAGTAGTGACCGTTTTTAAGACAATAATTGAGAGAACCTTAAAATCTTAATGCATAAATTCCTCTATTTTTCTTATATTCCTTTTCCTGTTTTATAGTAATAATATACAACAGTATGAAACTTGAACACATACATTTTATTAAATAATAAACCTAATTTGTACAAATAAAAACAACCTAATTTTCTACAATTTACTACAATCAAATCAATTATTGTTTTTTTAATCTATTCATTTTTAATCAATTACACGAACTTAATGAACCAGACTTTCCAAAATTACATGAGAGAGAACAATTTAAGATGAACTGATTCACTCAAATTAATGAATGAAAATTTTCTAACACTATATGAGAGAGAATCATTTAGAATAAATTGATTCACCAATATCAATCTGACTTGCAATGTATATGAGAACTGGAGAGGACTGTTTGATTATTCAGTTCAGACATACAAATTAAACATTAACTCACGTAAAAACAGCCACCAATTATTTGCTCACACTATACTACTTGGAAAAATATGTTACTTGAAAAGCTACAGGACACTGAAAACAGCTAAACTAGCAAAACCTAGAAATGAGCTTAGCAGCATCACTATTTTCATTCAGTTACTGCCCAACACTTCTACAATCCCTTCATAAGACTTTTAAAGTGTGTTTTGTGTGATTAGCACACATAAAATACGATTAATCTTTAAAATGTCTTTGTTTTTGTTATTTCAACAAAGACCAGTCTAAAACATGTACCAATGGGTGAAACCAGCTCCATTGTTTCATTGTCTATACACTCGCATATCACTTTGCAGTATATTTAGCCAGTTGTACGATGCAAATATGCTCACAAGTCTGGTTACCCCTACAAAACTCTCCCGGAGGATTCGAAACTCTAAGTTCAGTCTCATTTCCCACTCGGCGCTCAGCAGCAGCGAGTCCTTGGCTCTCTGATCTTCTCTAGACAAAATGAGACACAGCAGCTCGAACAGAGGGAGCCTGGCGTACGCTATTCCCTGCGCTACTTGAATAGATAATGCTTCTCTTTACTTTCTTTATTCCTTCAAAAAAAATGCATCAGAGGCCAAATATTAATTCTCCCTGTCACCCAGCAAAAGCAAGGGGAGAGCGACGCACTCGGCATACCAGCCTGTATTTTAACATGATTAAGGCACACATAAAGGCCTTTCGCAGGCTGCTTTGAACCTTGCCATTCAATTCTTTTTGTTTTTTGCGCATATTCAAACTTATTCCCCCACACTGCTGGAAGCTGATCCTGAAAGACAACGTTAATGAAACATATAACAGCTAAAGACAATGGGATTAGCGGCGTCCGAGAGCGAAGCACCTCCATCCGGGCTGGCAGGTCCGCTCTTCTCCCTTCCCCACGCCCATGAATCTCCTTTTAAAAAATGCCAATAGTTGTGATTGCTTAAAGCTCGATCCTTCGGCTCCATAAAGATGTGCGTGGAAAGAATCACATCAAGGAATGACATTGACAGAGGAACTGCTGACTCGCATCAGTGTTTGTCTTTTGATGTGAGAGATCAAATCGATGTACACACTCTCGTCGAACGGCATGCTGGGAGGGGGGTGGGGGGTGGGGATTAGCATTTCACATCCCCGAGAGTCGAAGGTGCCTGCTTGCCTTAAATCATTAGTGTTTATGTCCTCTTGCACCAAATAATCAGGAGGAGTTTTCTTGTGGGGAGCTGGAAGGAGCTTTCTCCTGAGCTGAGTGAAAGATCCCCTTCGCTTCCTCAATTATTAAGTGGCTACATGGGAAATAGGGAAACATTAGCAGGTGTGTAAAATTTTTTAAAAGATTAAGTGCTTCAAAAGAGTCACCCAGGGGAGAAAACAGGAACGTGAAACTGCTTTGGCAGTAACCAGGCAGTGAAACAATCGCTTGAGCAGAAAATGGTTATAGGAGATACACTGCCAAGAGTTAAGTGCATTTCTGAAGTTAAAGCAGTATAAATAGAGCGATATGAGAAGGGTCCAAATGAAGAGTGGTTAGCAGGAGAAAACAAAATTCAAAACCTACAATGCACTTCAAATACACATTGTCCTCAACGAACGGCCAATATCACCCACTTATTCCCACAACAGTGGGTCTCAGTTATGCATTGTTCGTGAGTTATGCAAGTTCGAAACACAGAACACATTTCTAAACAAATCAAATTCTTATCGTTCATAAAAGTATTTGTAAATAAATGGTAATATTTAATTACATTTGACAACTTACCTACAAAATATTTTTCTGTATGATTTGCACCGAAATTTGTTCTGCTTCACTTTATTAAACTGATGTTATTCGAACTGGTCAATCTGCGAAATCAGGACTATTATAGTTAACTAAAACTAAAACCATAAAAAGAATTGTTGTTACTTGAAATAAAATGAATGTTAATTAAAATAAAATATTAAATATATTTATTTCAGCTAGTTGCCAACATTTATCATTTTAATTTA